CTGTTCGGTATTTATTAATCTAGAACACTCCTCAGTCAATGGCTTTATTTACTCGGTACAGAGGACTTCAGGTGGCAGAAAAACAAAGAAGGGATTTCAACATAAAAAGCCAGGTCTCCTCAAACAGCATGGGAATTCTGCCTCACAGAGAGCAAAGCAGCCCCGTTCTGAATTTACCCGGCTCATTGAGGTGTCTGTCCTTGGAACCACGGGCTATTTTCTATCATTAGCCTCTGACACCAGAAGCACTGCCTGGTGAAGGGAGGTGGGATGAATGCCAGACAATTCTCAGCAAGGCTCTCGCGCCTCTTTTGCTTCTCCAACCTTCTCCTCTGCCTACCTCAGTCACCATGCCTCCCTGCCTCAGTGTTTTTGGGCAGTGCCTCTGCCTTGCTGTGTCTTTGGATACAGCAGTGATGGGAACATCCTAAGGAGAAAAGCTGTGGTACTTTCTCTTTTTAGAGGGAGGATCAAAGACTAAATCCCAGCTCTCCAGGCATGCTTGCAGCCTCATCACAATGTACTAAACAATGGCTGGGATAAGATTTTACAATAAAATGCACACTTAGCAATGAGGACAGGGTAAAATCTAATCCTCTGAAAATTTAGCAGATTAGCAGAGAGAAAAAAACAAATGGGAGAGTGATGAGAGAAAAAGAAGTTGAGGTACCCCAGCAGTTGGCTTTTTGTAACAACATTCTACTTGTTAAATCTCAAGCTAATCATCAGAAGTGCATGAGTACTCTTACCCTCTTGTAAAGAGATCTCCTGTGCTGCAGCTGAAAAAAGCACACTTGCAAACCTTGGACATTCAACTCTTCCACAGAAATATGCCCTACAGATATATCAGATGCTGATGGACTCTGACCTATTCAGAGATGCAAATATTAATAGAAAATGCTGAAAACCCACTTTTATGCCTCCACTGGAGGAAGCATTTTCAAAACATTTCTTTCAGCATGGAAGAAATCTCATTTGACCTAGTTTCCTACCCTGTTTGTTACCTCCTGGCTGTCTCATCTGAGGTTCCACCTGCTGTTTCTCCATCTGCCAGCCTCTTTTAGATCAGAGGAACCTTCTGAGTTACACATTAAATGTCAGGCAGGCTTGAGAAAAGTTGTTTATGTCTGCATTTAAACAGATGATATTTTCCATTAAAAATGCAGCATGGAGACACTAAAGGCCAAGATCTCATTTGTTTTTGGTTACCGTAATTCAAGAGCAAGTCTGCTTATGTGAAAAATGATGTTATTAGTTCAGACCTGTGTATATCCAAGCAGAATGATGATAACACTGTGAGGACTATTATTAGTGTCTTTCCAGTAATACTGAGAGCCTCAAGCTGGGGGCCAAAAAGTACCAGGTAATTTAGTCAAAGCCACTGAAAACCTTGAGTGGACTGAAAACAAACCCAAAACCAGTATTAGGGAACCACCTGTCTTCTCCAACTTACCTCCTAAGCTACTGCAGAGCAGAACACAAAGATTTAGTATGCATCAATATATCATTAAATATCAGTTACCTGAAGGAGTAATTACCTCTAAGGTTACAATACCTAAGGGCAACTACTCCATTCAAACCCAACATCTGAAGTATGCTGTACTATGCAGTATTTACAGTACGGTATTTTGCCAGCATGTAAGACCAGAGCTGTGTTGAAAATCTGTGGGATTTTATGGTAACCTTTGCTTTTCTGCTTCATTTGCTACTCTTTCAAATTCTGCAGAGAGACCTTGATCATCTAATCTCTGTCATCTTTGAGTGCTATGCAGACTTAAGAGAGGCACCAGGAATCATCCACACCCACGTGAGTCAACAAAAAGACTCCCTTTATTTTCAGTGAGTTAGGGATCAGAGTGCTGGAGCATCACCTCCATCTGCGCACCATCTATCTGGCAAAAAAAGCACTGTACAGCTGATGCCTTAGGAAACTCTAGAAGCAAGGGTTTCAGCAATTATTTTCTTCCTAAAAAGCATACAGAAAAGAACTGGAAGCTCATCATATCAGTGCAGACACGTTTTGTGGCCACTTGCACGTGGTATGAGAAGATTAAATACACGCTGAAGCTATGGGTGTCCTAAAACACCCATGTGAAGCCAGTAGGAATCTTTCCACAGATTTCAGTGAACTTTGGATCAAATCTTTGAGGCAATTAAGTAGTTTTACTTGGTATATTCATGAATATGTGTAGGCAGCCATTCTGTACCTGTCTTCCATCGTGCTCCTGGAATAATTTCAGCCATTAAACAGTCGGCCCTGAATTCTCCAGTCTCCCAGGTCTTGGAGGCAGTGGTCTCTACTCAGTTTGCTGCTGCTCATGTCAGATGCTTCTATATGAGAATCACTGAGCCTAGACTGCCCATGCTACGAACGCCAGGATGAGTAAAATCTGTGCTTCCTGAAGAGATGCAGGTATGTTAATTTTTCCTCAAGTTTAGGACATTGTAATTTACCTTCACTTGCCTAAAACTGTCTCGAGAGAATGAAGGAAAGTCTCCGTGGGAGGAGGAAGGCATTTCTTGCCTTATCCCTCAGACAAATACAATGACTTCAAAGTCATTATATGAAAGACATGTAACACAACTATTAACAGTATGATTTACAGTAATAAAAATATTATTATAACATGTTTAATTAGGAACCATTAAAAGAACAATTAAAGCTGTCAAAATAGAACAAAAAAGCAACGTGTTTTTTCTCTGGAGGACTGGGTTATGGTGGGAATCATTATTAACTTGTAATTTGAGGATGGAAGATTGCTTTCGTTTTGAGTTGAAATCTAGGCTCTTAAGAAAAAGAGGTCTCTGAGGTATATTCCTCTCTGGCAGGCATTGCTTAAGCAAATGTTATCACAACAGTAGAAGCATTTTTTAATACCCAAGGAAGTCACTTAAAAAAAAAAAAATCTGAATACAGCAGTATCTATTTAGTTCAGCTTTAGCATCCAACACAAATCTGACATTTGCAATCCGCGTGTCAGTATTCATCTCACTGCAAGAAATAAGGCAAAATGGCATTTAGTTTACCTGAAAAGGACAGTCAGACATCCCTTAAGGAATTCAATTAAAATGCAGCTTGTTACCAGAGCAGTGCATCACATTGTGCTGCTATAGTAACCAGGGGTCCCATGGACTTTTGGGGCCATCTGAGGACATATTTGCAAGAGGCACAAGAACTAAACTGATTGTCTATGGTCCATTTTAAATGACCTGAAAACTCTGAATGATTTGCTGATGTTAACCTATGAAAGAAAATAATTAACTCCTACATGCTCAGACAATAGGCCAGTCTCAGGAGTCAATTTATTCTTATTACTGTTTTTTATAACATACTACTCCCCACAGCTCATTTAAGAAGTGCATGACTTATCTGCAACATGTGAGCAACCAAATAGTTTAGTTTGATTCCCTAATAGAGAAACAATAGAGCAATCAAGACCTGTGGGCTGTGTAAGAGAAGATGAACAACAGAAATACGTATTCTACTTAGGCTGTTATTTCTAGTGCTATTTCCTGAAGTATCAAGCATCTGACTGCTCTCAGTTGTTGCATTTGGTAGATGAATCCCTACTAGCACACTGTGAAAAAAATCACACTACAGCACTGAACTTTTCTTTACAAATCCTTCTACTAGAACAGAAAGATCCTTAAACAACATTAATAATTATAAAAGCAGTATCTTACATTGTGCCCTGTCCTGATATTAATTTTCCATCGATGCAATCAACATATTTGTCACTGAAGCATTAAGATCAATTTTAACAGTAGAGATGCCCAGGTCAAGAGATTCTTTTGACACACCACCTGTGAAGGAGACTTCAAATTGTTGGTGGGTTGTTGCAGGTTATCATGAAAGAGTTCTGCAAAAGAGTACAGGACTTTAGGCTCCATTAAGTGATTCAACTATTGATGAAACTATCCATAAATTGTTTGAAATAATCAAGGGAATTTTTAATTGCTTTGAAAAAAGAGCTTGATGGCAATTCTTCTGAAACAAATGAAATTCCTTAGAAATATGGGGCTGGGACTGGTGGATGACATAGGAAATTGAAGCACCATTTTTTAAAGCATTGTGAAACCAGTATGTTCATGTGATTTTAGCTCATGGTACTACACATCAGCTCCCACTGTATAGAGCTGGGATGGGTACCTACCTGGAGAGATCTATTCCACATTGGGCGTGCTAATACCAGGAAGGTTGCAGTAAGCCCAAAAGGATCTCAGTTCAAGAGCAAGTTGGAGACATCAGTCTCCGGGGTTTTGGTCTCTTTTTGTACATACCAGTGACACACATTATGTGGTTGTGCCTAAGTTTCCCCATACATAAAACCAGGCAATGATATTTACCTGTTTTAAGATCCATGCCCCAGAACACTGGAAAGACTAGCTGTAAAGCAATTTCAAAATCCTGCTCAGGATTAGAGAACCTTAAACAAAAACCCACTATCATTCAGGTTAGAAGCAACATTTAATCCAAACAAATAAAATATGAGAGAATTGAAAACATCTCACATTTCAATCTTTTTACTATATGGAAAAGTATCTAGGCAACATAATGACTCAAATTACCATGTCTAAAAACAGACAGTAGACTGATCTTTTGCTAAATGGGTCTTTATACAAGATAAATTGATTGCAACTAATACATCACTCTTGTGTATAGCCCAGCACTTTAACAACCTTGAAACAGTAATTCTTCAAAGGGCCTCACAATTTCTTGATAATCTGCTGCAGCCCATTATTAATGGCTTCATTCACTCTCAGGTTCTCCTTACAACAGAAAGTTTATTAGTACTACAAATTAATCAGTTTTGTCAGCAATTTACTCCAGCTGAGGTGCCAGCCCTGATACTCATTCTTCAGCCTGTTTTTTGTGTAGACTGGGCTTCCATTTACTGGGTTTGTTCCTCCAGTTCCTTCACAGGAAGTAACACAGCCTGAATGCTTTAACAGGGACTTTTGGAGAGGAAAGGTGTTATAAATCATCACTAATTTAGAAGTTCATTTTTAATGGGTTACATTTTATTTGCTTCAGTTGAACACCATTATTTACAGACACGAGTTAATAAAACACATCACAAAACAATAAAATTTCAACAGCTAATATTTATAGGTGCATAGTTCATGCTCAATTACTTTTTTTTTAGAAGTATAATACATACACATATATATAAAGCTCTCACAATAAGTCGTCTCTGCACAGAAATAATAGTCATAGGAAACAAATAAAAATCGTATCATAAACAATATCAAATTACTGATAGCCTATCAACAAAACATGTACAGAGTTAGAAATAAGCAGTAGACACTTAGGTGTTTTTATTCAATATTTTCTTTTTTAACTTTTAAACTTGAAGCCACAATATCCACAGCACAACAATGACCCTGCCAACCAGCTTTCATTTCAGCAGGTGGGAAATGCTGAAACAAGGTGGATGCAGTCACAGATACTCCAATCATTGCTGATGGAAGACTTCAAAATACACCGTAAAAACTGTAAAAAAATTTTACGACTGGGCACATTGGAACTCAGCACTTGTACAGGATGGGACGTCTTTAGTAGTTAGTAGATTTCAGGAGATATAAAGGAAGGAAAGGACTTTCATGCTTCAGGTTCATAGTCTTGATACTCTTCCTAATGAGGAGAGTAGAAATCAGTGCTACTAGTAATTTAGATAAATACATCCTACTTTCACTGCTTGTTCTAGTCCTATAGTGGATTCAATACCAAAATATCATGGATTTGCATGTGATCAGGATCTTGCCATTTATTATTATTTTGTCACATCTTCCAGATACTGTACCTTATAAGGTGTGGTATTTACAGGAGAATTAGGCTTTTCCAGTGGTTAACGTGTTATTCAGCTGATGTTGCCAGGAACTCATGAGAGCACTCATGGCAACTCACTTGGAGAGGGAGGAGGACTACCTCTGGGCTGAACCGCACACCAGGTGCTGCAGATACTCATGAGTCAGTAAATCAGTTAAATGTGTGTTTAACTGCCGGTATGTGGGCAGCCCCCATCATTTCAGTGATATTCGAGGTGCTAGCAATCAAGCATGCCTTTAAGTCGTTCACTGGATTGTGGGCTAAATGTTATATACCTCTCATTTTCAGATTAATTATCTGTGCTACTGTAAAACTGCCATTCCAACTACCAATGCATCGTGCCAGATACTGTAGTAATAATTTACATTACAGGTTCATTAAAAGCATCAAAATACTTTACTCCTGTAATTGCATTAAGATTATAATAATGAATTACTGTGTTTTAGAAAGCGTGATGCTTTAATAAATGACTAAGCTATTAAAACAATCTATGAGGATGCAGTTTTTCCCATATTCCCTACCAAACATAAGAAAAAGATGTAAGTTTACTGTGGATTACTCAGAAACCCAAGATCAAGTATTTTGAAACACACACACCATTTACCCACTAAACTTCCTTACTATCAAGAAAGCAATGGATTTTCTGTTTCCCAGCACTATACCTCTGAGAGATCTTGGCCAAAGAGACCATGTTTCCGCTGTGCCCTTGCAGCTCACACAGCATCAGACTGTGCCAGGCTAATGCAACTTGAGCATGCAGCCTCCTCCTGTGCCCTTCCTTCTCCTACGTACGTTCACAGCAAATACCACAACAGATTTACCTCTGGAGGCATTTCATAAGCCTCATTCTCAGGATCCACAGGAACATCTGTATTATTCACCATTCCCTCCTGCAGGAAACCTTCTTCATTCTACATTTAAAACAGGGAAAGAAAAGTGACAGGCTGTAGCTGCTTGCCTCATAATTTAAGCCAAAGTGAGTCTTTCCTCCAGATCAGTGGTTGACTTCTTGGCCTGTCCATTGGTTTTGGGATGTTGCCAGGGGTTGTGAAGAGCTAGAGGACATCAGCTCCAGTGAGATCTTCTCCATGTTCCACAGGAGTATCCACGGGAATGGCCACCTATCATCTTTCTGAACAGCTGAAGTGCTGATATCCCATTTCTCTCTTGCCATGGACAGGCCAAGAAGTCAATCTGAACAAATTAACAGTACCATCACCAACTTGCTGTATACCTTTGGAAAATATTTTAATCACACAGAAAATGCTTTTCTCATGTCTTGAAGCAAACCAAACCAAGTTTTTTGTTCCTTAAGAAACTGATCTGGGAAACACAGTCCCACACAAATTGTTTAAATAGGTTACCTCATTAATTTCTGTTTAATTACTTGGGAGAATACAGTTACAGGTATGCAAAAGTCGTTGTAAAAAGCAGGCCAAAAGAATGGTGTAGTGTCAAGACACACAAATGAAATAGTAATTCAGTGATAACTTTTTTAATGTTATAGACACATCAATCCTCTCATAAATGTTTGTTTTATAGTTTTAGCCTTTTCACAGTACATTTCAAAGTGGCCAAAAAAGGGAGAACTATTATAACTCAGACTATTGCATGCTGGTTTTTCCCTTCAGTTTTAGAACCTAATTGTACTGGGAAAATCCTTTTTCTTTTAAAGGGTCACACCTCTACATGTTTTCTTATGTCAACCAGCACATTACTTTATGCAGTATTAGTATTTTACACAGCAATTTTCATAAGAGCCTCTTGGAATTAATGGGACTGCCATGGTGTTAAGGAATAACATAAACTATACTATTTACCATCTGAAACAAACACAAATTATAAAGGAAAAAAACCCACTCCAATTTGGCCAATTCCCCTAGTAGCTGTTACTGCAGAAGTTCACAGAGAAGAAACATGAGTTTTGCCAGAATAAAGACTGTTGGAGTTCATCCGGAACTGTAAGAAAATTGATATGAAAACATGCAGAGTAGCTCAGTGGAATTATTGTGACCATGCTGATTTATACCAGTTGTCAATCTAGACAGAAATGCACTAAAAAATGATTACAGACACTCAAGAAGAAATTCACTTTAAAAAAACCCCTGCAGGCTGGTAGCGTAGACAGAAATACAAAATTAAGTTACAAACCAGACAAATGAGGTAATTCTTCAAAGTCTGCAATTTACAGGATAGTGATGTCAAATTAAATTTATGATATAGATAAAATGAGGATAAGAGAAGCTAAACCTGAAACTCACCTCTGTGAGCTTAACACAAAATAGAAAATAATATGCAAAACCAGGTGTCACTAAATCCTCTTTACCTTCACACAGTATTTCTCGTGCTTCTGCTGTTGATTATTTGCCATATATCAGCTTTCTCTGTGGTTTAACCAGGTGACCTTAGTCATAATACTATGTTTCTTGCTGCATTTCTCCATGAACAAATTGTGACTTTATCTGCTAGATATGAATCCTATTCTTCCGTGGTTCACCCACCTTTTCTGGCACATGTGCCAGAAACACGTTTTTCACCCTCATCAAAGTGCATGATGTGCAGAATTTATTTCCATAGTGTGGGTTCTTCTCTCTAGCTCTTACTTCAGAGTTTAAAAGGTCCAGTATGAAGATATCTGGTCCCAGTGCTTCTCAACTGGGGTCAGATATGCTTTGTCCTTTAGACGTAAACGTTATAGTCTGTTTACAGCCCTCTATTCTGCCAAGTTCCCTCCATTCATGTGCCTGCTCTCAGCTTTATGGTGTGCATAAAGCCTGCACTGCTTTATGGCATAGATAACATGGACAAATTCCAAAAGTCACGGGACATCAATGAAAAAGGTTGCTAATACCTTCATTTAGGTCTGTGTCTTCCAGAAGAAACAATAATTTTGGGTGTTCAGCATGACAGGTAACTTTCCAAGCATGAAATCATCAGAAGAACTAGCCCCAATTACAGTTCTGCTCTGGCTTGTCAAAACACTCCAGCTCCTAGGATTATTTGATGCGCAGTGTTTAATTACCTTAGCCTCTAAAAAAAATTTTAGGGGTATTTATTCCTATTTACTTTTATGAGAAGTAGCATCAATCCCTATCAGCTTTGAAATAGCTAAATAGTGTGTGCAATGCAAATTTTATTGTGCACTTCATGTAACATATCAGCTCTAAGGACCTACAGCTCCAGTCTACTGCTCTTCTCTTTAATATCATTAAGGAACAGCTTTGGCTAGCAATCTACATCAAGTAAAACTGTGCCCAAAATCAGTCTTGAGGTTGGATGAGGAAGAAAGCTTGAAGCTTAATGTTATCTGTATCAGGAAAACAGATGGCAAGTGAAACTGCCAGGACCATTAGTAACTACAAAGAAAAAGATTCGCCAGCTGAATTTCAAAGAACTCCAAACCTTGGATTCTGTTTCTTAGGAACCTCTGCCACAGGTCTGGACTGTCTATCAGGATTACAGAGACACAATGCCTAAAAAAGGCTGAATTGACCTTGTTCCCAAGTTTCTTCAGTGAGTTCAGGATGCAGGTTTCTCTACAGCTTCAAATAAAATAAACAGCAGCACCAGAAAAATACAACATCAATCACAACACCAGTATTTTTACAAATTAAGCAAATCATAAGCCATACCAAACCATCAAGGGAACTCTGCCTCTGAATGGCAACAAAAATGGACCTTTGTCCAGCTGCAAACAGTAACGCAAACATCGCCTTTCATGTTGATGACACTGTAGTTCAGATGAGAATGACATTTCTCAAGGTCACATTTGTTACATTTAAATGTGTAGCATATGCGACCGCATCATTTTAATAGTGGTGCTCTCTGCTTCTGATGTACTGTCCCTCTGAAGTTAGGATATCACAAAAGTAAACAACCACCCCCAATAACAATGAGCCATCTAAGGTACACGTTATATAATATCTCCTTTAAAGCAAAGAAATGCAATTTTAGGTTCTCATGATCAATAATTCCATATCCTGATTCAGTTATGGAAGAGGAAAAACACCCAGTAGACCAATTCTTGTCTTAGTATGAAAGACGCACTTTTCTCTTGAAGCTGCTGCCTCTGTTCTTAAACCATATAGAAGGGTGTTTCCAGAGGGAGAGCTTTTTATTAGAAGATCTGAGAAGATAAACAAAAGCTTCTCAGAGATAGTTTTTAACTGGGGAGCATGTGCTCATTTGCAAGGAAAACACTTTAAAAAGGGAAAATTCCAACTCATGCAATATGCAAAGTGTTAAAAGAATGGCGAGGTGAGTATGTCTGCTTGTCACCTGAGGATTCCCTTAAGAAAAAGCAAATACCCACCTATACCTTGGTCTGAAGCATGGTCACTCTGGGTAAGAGCTGCATTTCTACATCTCCAGAGAGTCTTGTGCCCTTAGATCCCATGTTATGAAAAACAAGCTTTTGCGGCTAGCCAGAGCAGAGCACACCACACTGCGCTTCCCAGGTACCAAGAGCGGTGTCAGTTTGGCTATCAGCGTTCCTGTCTGCCTTGGCAAAGCTTCGTGACTATCAGACTTGCACAGCCCAAGACCTATGTGCTATCAGGCTACCTTGCAAGCCCACTCACACCTTCCCTGGGAATGAACAGCTATGGTATATACCCTCCCTCTCAAAGCACGCTGTGCTCTCATTTTGTCAAGCAACTTAAGTCATTTTATAAACAAAGGGGAGACTGTGTCCCATCACCGTAAACAAGTATATATGCATAATCCCAGGTGTCAGTTCTGGCTTAAGGAACAGGTACAAAATAGCTGGTATACAAGAGTGGTAAAAATAAGATGTGAAGTAGAACTTATCTGCTGCAATGTCTCCAAAATGTTGACGACTCCTTTACTATGGAAATGGATCCTGCTAAGCTGTGCATGTGACAGTGTGAAATGACCCACTTTTACAATAAAATAGTAATCAAACTAAATTTAAAAGTCCCCCAGAAAACCTGGCCCTGTTTAAATTACAGAGTATTTGCCAAAACTTCAGGCCTATTCCCTTTGCCAGGAAAACGTCAGCAAACAGGTTTCCCTTATTTCAGTGGTTTTGGTGAAAATTGTACCCCATTCTTTCACTTCACCTTCTTTCCCACCTCAGAACGCTGTTGGTGTAAGGGGAGAGACTGTTTAAGACCCCACACACATGGAAAACAGACCCAGAGGTCTGCTTATGGTACCACATCTATGTCAGCACCATGTGGCAAAATAGTCACCTTCAGGAGAGTGCATTCAGTTCTCTCAGTGACATGTCTTTGAATGCCAAGTTACTGTTATCAGAAGTGAATTATTTTATCTCAAGTTGCGGACAAAAGCAACTTCAAAAGGAAGCACTGTAATTGTAATTTAGCAGCTGATCTAAGCATTATAATTTACTATCTCTCTGGCTAGTACAGGTTTTTTGTTACCATTATGAATGCTGAAGAAGTCTTACAGTCATGTATATTCTCATGATTACTAGGGACTAATTCCGTCTGGAGTGATTCTATATTCTGAGCTAAGTAAGCCAGGCTACCAAAGTGTCAGCTCTTAAAACATTTATACTGACAAGAGGAGGTCACCCTGGAAGTCACTTCCATTAATCACAGAGGTCAGAAGACCCCTCCAGAGACTGTCTAGTCCAACCTCCCAGCTCAGAGCAGGGTCACCTAGAGCAGGTTGCTCGGGGCCATGCCTGGTTGGGTTTTGACCATACCCACAGATGGACACTCTACAGTCTTGCTGGATAACCTGGTCCATCGTTTGACTACTTGCACAGCAAAAAAAGTTTTCCTTACATTGAAATGGAGTTTCCTGCATTTCAGTTAGTGCCCACTGCCTCCTGCCATTTCACTGGGCACCGCTGAAGAATCTTGGTTCAACCTTCTTTACCACCACTCCCCTCAGGTATTTATACACATTGGTAAGTTCCCCC